AAGCCAGAGTAAGTAAGCAACAACAATTTGATTGGTTATTAATTTTATAACACTGAGAAACTGGCTGACAATTTTAGGTTTTCTCCTTAGAATGGCCAGTAAGGAATAAGGATTTTCTTGCCTCGGCATTTATTCAACTATTTAAAGTCTTTACCTAGATTTCACCCAGAGGGAATCAGCCAAACATCAAAATTCATTTTGAAATGATGTGTACGCCGATTAAAATGTATGCACAGATGTAAAAAGGGCTGACTCAGAAGCAATGTCAGTCACTGTGCAAGTAGAAAGTGCAGTACAAAACATACAGTTATCACAACCTTTTCCACTTCTGTTGATTTAAGATCTTGTTTTATAATTAAAAAAAGGCCTTGGCATCCATAGTCTAGCCCACAGCTCAGTATTCCTGCCCTGCACCATGCACAATAGTAAAATCAGATTATATGTTACAGGTAGAAATTGTTGTTTTAGTGGGGTTTTGTTTTGCTACATAGCCTCCCCAAAATTCCTTAATTGCAGTAACTGAATTAAACTCAATAAATGAGTAAGCTCCCTTCACTTTTCCACAAATCCAATACTTAAATCTCATGTCACTTTTATATAAGATAATAAAATGTAACATTGCAGACAGCAGCGAGTCACATGGAATAGGTTAAGAGGAGAAAAGGCTCTGCTCTACCACCAGAAATAATATTTAAATCCTTCTTGCTTATTCTTCAGTTCAGTACGTTGAGAAGCCGCTTCAGATAGTGAAAGCTGACATTTGTTTGGTTTAAAGATCATGCAAATCCCCATGCTATGGTAAACCTTACTGAAGAGTTTCTCTTTTTCAGTGGGAAGCATAGAAAATGACACGCTACATTTTTCCTTGATTTTTGCATACTTTGCGTAAGAATGATCACACAAAAAAAGAGAGATTTTAGGAGAGCTACATTTGAACGTTATGCAAACATTTTCTGTGCTTTATTTTTGAATCGTGGGAGACTTGATTTAAACTCAGACATTTTACACATCAATTCCTCCAGAATTAAAATTCTACTTGAAATAGACATGAAATTTAAAACTAGCACTTCGACTAATGAGGATGAAAGAAATTACATAAGGGATTTTTAAGACATATGTTTTATAATAATTTTCTCACAAAAATATGTAAGCACACCAAGGAGCCTAATGGATGATCAAGCGTATCGCTAATTCAGTAAATGAATTCTAGAGAATTCGCCAGTTTTTAAGCACAGTTACTCAGTTTAAGAAAGCATGTTACAAATAAACTGTACGTCCCCTGGCTCTCCTGGCACATCTTTCAGCAAATAAGGAGAGCTGGATGGAAAGATTTTGTATTTCAATGACAGCTTGCACAACAGAATCAAACCAGCTAAACCACACAGCGGTCTTGTTCTCACACAGGAGAAACAGCATTATCTGTAGTTTGACTTAAACTAGGATAACCTTCAAAAGCAAGTGCTCGGTACTCATGAGGAGAAGAGGTATCACCAGCTGGTCAAACACCCCCAATCAGGCTGACTGTATCAGTTCTTGAGACTGCTATTCCATGCTCATGTGCAACAAATGGCACAGTACGCAGTGCTCAACCACAGCCCTTCATGCTGACTTCTGCTGGGCAAGGTGTTCGTACCCTTTCCGGCACACGTTGGGTCTTTCCTACGTGATATGTCACTGCAGCCCTTTGGGGAAACCCCCGAGCCATAGCAGATGAACCTGTGGTTTACAGCAAATTCCTAGAGCTGATAATTTCATCCAATAGATGCCAGCATGCCCGGTCAACCCCACACTCACCGGTAAGAAATTTGCACTTTGTAGCATCCGAGAGAAAGGACCAAATACAATTCCTTGCGCAAATGTTGGTTCTTCCTGCAATGGGAGAAATATCAGCACACAGCTACGCTCCCAGCTGTCCTTCAGCCAGCCTCCAGCACCACCTCCAGAGCTGCAGCAACCATTACTCCACACTCTTCTAGCACCCGTTCATCTTACATCCAATACATCAAGGCTGCCTACTAGTGAATTCCACTTCTCATGCCCACTGCTGCGTTGCAGAGGTTGTTCTGCCTCCCCATGCTTCTCCTTTGGGAAGGTTTGGAAGCTTTGAAGCTTTGGGAAGGTGAGGAATGTTTTCCTCATTTCTCTACTGAGATCAGAAATGAAGCACAATATAATTCTGCTAAACAGATTATGAAACCATGTTTAATTTTGTGGAGAAGTGTTGCAGAGAAGACCACAGATTATGTTGTTACATTGCTTTGCAGTATTTCTTATATTTGTGTTATCCTGCGCAGGATTTGTGTATTGCTTTAATAGTGGGCTTGAGACAGCAGCAGCCAACTTCCATTCTAGACTACCACCACTCGGGTTATCCCAAGACTGTGCAGCTGTTAGCACTTTGTGTCATGGAAACAGTCAAAAACAGCTGTATTACTAAAAATCACACACCACTGGCCAGGGTGAGAACCTAATTTGGAAGTGATGCCACACTGTGCAGAGTGATGCCTGAAACTCAAGACTGTGAAACAGACAAGTCTCATGGTTATTCATTTCATTTCTTCCCAAACAAAGCTCAAAAGAATTATAAAAAAATACTGTGATTTTTTTCAGTGTATAAGCACTGCCAAATTGAATTAATCATTTGAACAACGCAGTCAATAATACCTGCCCGTTCCTTAATTAAAACTGTAGACTCACAGGGCCAACATTTTACAAAGAAAATGGAAGCATTCAATTTAGGGGGATGTTCTTCAGTGAAAATCCTTTTTATTTACAGCTCTTAACCCAGCTGCTGCTATGCATCAGAATGGCACAGAAATAACAAGAACAGGAACAGCAGACACTCATCCCTCTGCCTCAATGTCCTCCTAATGGGTTATGAGAAATAACATGGAGGAGAGGCCACAAGTACTTCCGCTGATGCTGTACAGGATGGGCCAGTGGCTCAGCCTACAAGTCTGTCACCACAAACTCTGCTCATTTCCTGCGAGCTCTGAGTACACTGCAAAGTGCCCACTTACACTGCTGAGGATCTGTATGGTTTGCTCCTAGCTGTGCAAGAGATTGCCTCCTGATACCACCGGCAGCTGTGTTCGGGTGATGCAGCTTTAGTGCCAACCGCTGCCATTGGGTCCATGCAGCAGGCAAATGGCTTCTGTTTCATCCTCAAACTGAGGCACAATCTGTTAAATCTCTGCATGCAATCGTTTGCTTGTGAAAGCAGGTTACCAGGTGGGAAAAGTATCTTCAGTAACTTTCTATAAGTGAGGCCCCAGTATAAAACCATATTCATGGTTTTATTGTGCTGCACGATATAGGGACCGTTCTCTGACACAGCTGGCTGTGGGGGGACCAATCCTTTTCTACAGGCCCATCTTACACTGCTTTGGAACAGCAATGTTTCCTTAACATGGGATTAAGGGTCAATGGACTACAAATTTAGGTCTTGTTGTATCTCAGAGTCAAGCCCATTTTTTCTGTTTTAATTCTTCACTCCAAACCTTAGACAGCAAGCAGAGCTTAATTATAAAAACACATTTTCTGTAAATACAAAGCTACAGCTTTTCTTGGTTTCTGACATCTAATCTAGTGCTTATATACCTGGGCATCACACCCCACCAAGGCCCAGTCCCTCAGTGCAACAGCAAGCAAGCAAATGCAGAGGTTTTTTTGCCCAGCAGAAGCTGACAAAGGCCCAGACATGGTATCCTCATCAGGTCTGTGCCCACCTTTACCTGTGTGATACCTCTTCAGACCTGCATTTGAAAACTGATATTTATATCTAAAGTCAAGCGAATATATTCATATTTTCTCTATTCAAATATTTGGATGCACCCATTGATCAAAATGGCATATTTTAGAAGATGCATGGTGCAATGCAAAATCCCACCATGTTCTGACAGCAGAACAGAAAGGCAAGCACTGACACCAAACAAACGCTGGTAGATGTGATAACAACCAGCTAAACTCACTTATCCTACCTTCCCCCACAACTGTTTTCTTCAAGGTAAATCCTGTGTTCAAGCCGTCCTTCTGCAGATGCCACAGCTCCTGTCCCATTCACAGGTGGAAGCTCAGCTGAAAGAAGCAGCCAAGTCTGAGGCCAGGTTCAGAATCCACATAGGGACCTGTGCCAGAGGGTTGATGCTGGCTCTGTATGGTCCCTCTTCATTCACCTGTGAGCAGGACATAGAAATGTGTGCACAGATTGCACACAAGTACACACTGCTGTCAAAAGTAATCCCACAGGGCACAGCCAGCTCAGAGGCAGCCAAAAAACAGCTGTGGGGGGAGATGAACACAGGCAGCTATGCCTGCAGCCATGCAGGCAGCAGCACAGCCCTTCTTCAATTTCTGCACCCAGTGGGCCAGCTGCTGGGGAGCCAGAGCCAGTGATGAAGATCTCAGCAAATTAAATCTACTTCCAATCTCACTTCAGTCCTAAGAATCTAGATTTCACCTTTCTCAGGTTCTCACTGATGATACTTTCATCTAAATTTGCTCTGAAACTTTTAAGACAAGGCAGAATGTTTTCCTCATCACCACAGCATACTCCACAACTAAGGAAGAGAGACATATCTGGAGATAAAGATGCCCATTGCTCCTGGCTTCATGCTCCTTACAGCAGCAGTGGTGTCTGGATCAGACCTACTATTTCCAAAATAATTCACATTTTCTGTTTTTCCATACATTAGTTAGCACTTCAAACAGTGGTATGGCATGGCCCATCATGCCAGTTTTCCTCATTTATACAGGGTCTTTTTGTGCTGAAATAGGAACAAACTCAGCAACAAACAGAAATCCCAATGATAGATGGGGTGGGATGAGACCGGCACTTAACAGAGTATCACGGTGCTGGAGACAAAACAGATGGTATAAAGTAGAACCAATCACATATATCCATATCACAAGTTTATTAATAAAGTACATTCAAAGATATTGAATTTGATCCAGAATCCAAATTCTAGTTATGACATTCAGAAGAAAGAGAAAGAACTTACCAGAGGCAGGAAGCAGAGTGCGGCTGTTAAAATAGACGTTACGGAAGTCAGCTACTGGGAGCAAGGGCAGAGAGAAAATGAAGAGCGGAGAGCTGTGCTCTTCGGTTTTCAGATGGACTTCTTTTCTTAGCAGGTTCAAAAAAACTATATTACAAAGATAGAAGGGGGAAAAAAGCAAGCGGTAAGCAGGGACCGCTGCACATACAGGCCACATTAGCCAGGGCTGGGCCAGCAGAGAGCGGTCCAAGATGTGCTGTGACGAGGAGCAGCGCAGGGGTGAGGGTACGTCAGCTTCCTGGTGAGCTCCTCGGTGCCTGTGTGGGTTTGGTTGCGGGCTGATGTGTGAGCATCCCGCTGCTGGGGGTTGGGGCAGCACAGCTGTGGCCTGCAGCACACTTGCTCTTTGCAGGCTGCTGCTCCCAGGGCTGCTCGAGGTGAGGCACAGTACAGCCTAGCAAGCAGTGTTCATCTAGCTGACCCTCTGCAAGCTGAGGGCAGGCACTTTCAGAGCTTTGCCTGAATTCAGTGAGGATTGCCCCATATCGTACATCAGAACAAGTGCACTGACCAGCAGCAGCGAGGGATTGCAGGCACCGAGAAACCTGCCCAGCACAGGCAGCAGCTCAAGCAGGCCAGGCTCTCATGGCATCTAGCATTCCTGCCACAGCACTCCAAGGAGAGTTTCAGGATTTCCAGTGCCTGGCCCACAGTCCATAGTGCAGAAGCCATGAGCATTTCCCACTCCCAAGTTCCCTACATACTCTTTCCTGCCTCAACCCGTGTGTGCAATGATCCCCCTGTCCTTGCTGTCTTTCCCACAGACACAGCATCTGGCTACAGCGAGCAAGAGGTGGCACAGGACACTACATGGATGCCCCTGAGCCAAATGTGAGGAGCCCTAACCCTGCCCAGAGTGGAGATCAGCTGCTCCTCAGCCACACACAGCAGCAGATCACCTGGCAACCTTAAGACCAGACTCTGAGACAGAACCTGAGACCATCCCAGAAAATATTCTTGGCCCATTTTAGGAACAGTCACTCCTGACCATGTCTTGCCACATTGCAGGAATAAGTGCCAGATCCAGGACTAAAGCCACGCATTTTATGTTCACTACAGGATGGGAATGCTCTGATAAAGAGAGTCAGCAGATTTCTCCACAACAGCTTTATCCTCGTATAACGCATTCCCACATAAAGTTATACTGCTTCCAAGAATGATTAAAAAAGTAATAAAAACTTGGAAAAAAACTATGAGATAAAGCAGAAAGGAAAAAAAAAAATCATTTACGCACAGATGAAACACAGCTTGTGCCTGTATAATCAGTGAACATAAAGATGCTATAATTATGAAATAAACAAGAGAGTTTGGCAAAGCAGACTATAATAACAAAAAAGGAGAACAGATAAAAGGTTACCTGCATCCTGGGCTCACTGCAAAACTCCAGAGAGGTCTCCAGAAGAGATCCTTTCCCACTGGCAGTCAGCTCTTAAATGGCTCTAGGAGAGGTGCAGCCAGGCTCCACCCTTCCGGCAGCACAGGTGAATTGCCTTCACCTGTGCTTCCAGGGCTGACTCATTGCTCACCTCAGGTGATCAATCAGAGGTTCAGGCCGTGATTCAGCAGTTCCCATACAGTGCCAAAAATATAAATAGCTGCTAAACTAACATTACCTATGTAGAAACACTGTAGAAGTGCTGATACAAGGCTTGCAGAGCAGTACTGCACAGTTAGGCTGGGGAATCAGTTTGTTGCTTTTCCCCGTGTAAAGAAACGAATTCAGTTAATTATCACTAGGGATGAAGACAAGTAAAGGCAGCTCGCAGAAGGTGGTTTTGAATAGTCTTTTCCTAAAAATACTAACTTTCTTTTGAGATTTTGGATAAGGAGCTTCAACACCTTATGAGAAAACTTGCATTGCTTGCTTCTCACACTGAACACCTGTTCTTCCATTTTTCACTAGGTTTAGGTTACCCAACACCAGAACATGCAATCAGGCAAAAAGTTTCCATTGCAATCATGATAAAGAAAGTCAGACACCCAAACATTCTGAGATGTTTCCACTAGAATGCTGTGGCTCAGAAGTAGAGAAATAGCTACCATTTGCAAATAATATTGATAGTAGTGCCCTAGGTGATCATCACTCATTTTAGGTCTGCTACAGATAGCAGCTGCTCAAAAAAATCAACTTTTTTTTTCTGCTTTGTACTGCAGACTAATCCAGATGTGAGGCCATCTGGGTAAGCAGCTTGCATATTAGATAAAGAGCTCATCCATCTGTAAAATACTTCATAAACAGCATTTGAATTGAGTGAGCTCTGTAAAAAAAAACCAAGGATGTACGATGAATGTGATCTAATGTCTCAGTTTCCACCATGTTCTTCCATTGTGCTTCCGGGAGCATCTTGACCCAATAATTTCCTAAATACATGTGAATATCATAGAGGGATTTTTTAGTGCTTCTGTTCTTCGTGGAGTTTTTGAATAAAAATTGGAGAGTTTTCATAGCGATGCACATGTTTCACATAGCCTTGTTCTATGACTTGACTTTCTAGTGACCAGGAATACTGCACATCACCTCCAGCTCCACACTCACCGCTCAACACTCAGGCAGTTCCAAAGGCAGGTTCAATATTGCAGCCTAAATGATATCTTTTCCTTGAAACCTGCTTTTTTTTTGTTGTTGTTCTTGCCTTTGTTGCTTCAGCTTTTCTGCCCCTATTCACCTCCTCATGCTGTGCAATGAAGGGGAACATCTGGCTGTAAGAGAATATTGCTATTACAGCCAAAAATACCTTGCTTCTCCTTTTTATACTCGGTATGAGTCATGAAGTGGGACTTTCAGAAACAAACACCTCGTTGTGGAAAATATTTATGAGGGTGGAGTGGAGGGTTGCAAATATGTATGTCTTTATTGAAAACTAAGTTGACAGCAAAAAATGTAGTCTTAAAACTCAAGTAACTGAGAGTTTCAATTGTGTACAATAATACCACCCAGAGTCTTATCGTGTTAGACTTGTTAGGCTGATTTTTAGTGAAAGGCCATGTTTGTCCCTTAATCCATTGATCTATTTCTCACTCGGACAAGGCAGCAGGATGCAGATTTTGGGAATGGAGCTAAGCAAGCTGCCCTGTCACCTCTGCCTGATTTCATTTTTGTTCTTACATTTGCTCAGGAAGTAAACCATGACACTCTTGATACCTGCTGTATTTACCCCTACAAGCCCAGGTGGCCATTGGATTAAACAAGGTAATTTTTTTTCTTATATCTATGCATTTCACCAACATTGTAAACAACATACAAGGAGTGTGTTTACTTGATAAAAGGGGTTTTATTATTATTGTTCTTGTTTCTTAAGTAATCATTCTCAAAGGGAAGCATGAAAAACGTGTATGGTCAAGATGCCAGTAACATGTTTGAAAACCAGCGTGCTGCTATTTGCTTTCCCTTGCATTCCTGGGCAGTACAGGGGAGGTCAGGTACGTTGCCCTCACCCCTTTTAACATGGGCATGAGTTCCTTCCCAGGGACAGGCACGCTGATCAAAGGGGGACCTCCTTGCAGCATGGAGGAGCGTTTGCAACAGTCTCTGAAATAGATCTGGCAAAGAAGTATCTCAGAATTACTCACTGTCAGGGAACTCCTTCTGAAAGAGGAAATGAAAATGCAGTTTCACAAGAAGCTCCTACATGGATTTAGGTAAGACATATGTCATTCATCACTTTACCTTGATGAGTTTAAGCTTTAGCTTCAACAGAAGATAACACAGTTGTTAAATACCCCTCAGATCTGTGCTATAGTGACACAGTTTGAAGCATATGATGATGAAACAGAACCCAAACTCAAGCACGAAGCTCTCAGTTCATCTCTCAAGTCCTTCCAAGGTTCTGCCTCTTCCTTGAGATGTCAGTACATATGATGCAGGTCTGGTGCAGAGGGCAGTTCAGTGTGCTGCTAGGAAGGGAGCCTGGGCTACGGCCACCACTACTCTAGTGGTGGGCCACTGCTAGGCTGGGTCAAGGAGCACTTCCAGCTGTCCTGCAAAAGAACATCTGCAGTGGCATGGAAACAGAGCGTCCTTCAGTGCAAGGCCTGCCCTGTGTTTCAGGTGGCTGTGGAGCAGCCCTCAAGCTACTCCAGTTCCAGGGATCAGGCTTGAGCCAACCAGTGCCTGGGTGCAGTAGCACTGAGATGGGGACAAGGCACTGAGCAGCTTAGAAAAGGTCACAGACCAAACAGGCCCAACACAGAGTATCCTGGCTTGTGCAAATGGAAATCAGCCTTGGGTCTGGCTTTAAAACCTAGGCGTAGGCACCTACATTATCATCCAGCCTCCTTTCAAGGTGAACCCATACACTTGTGCAGCTGCAGCAAACAGACATTACACTGCTTCTTGAGACCTCTGCTTCTGGCAGTCCAAACAGGCTTACACTTCGTTACCTTTATATCTTTTTTCCTTTGAACAGGTTTGTTATTTCTCTGCAATATTTATCTTGAGACCCAGCTGTCAGCAGCACGCACCACTAACATTTACACCTTTTCCTTTCTTGTTATCTGACAAGCAGAAACAGTGCAATAACTTCCTAGAACTATTCTTCCTGTGACAACAGCAGGGAAGTGGTGATCAGGACGATGTATGAGAAGTGCTTTCCTTTAGAGTAACTTGAAAATGCGCTTCCCCTTTCTTAAAACTGAAGCCTGCTTAAGTACCGAGCTAAGGATTACTTAATATTACCAGCTCTCACCCTGAGACAGCCTAGCATAAAAGCAATCACATCACTTCCCCAAAACTCAATATTCTTCCCCAAAATCAGGAACGCATCCTAATTCCCCAAACAGCCGTCAGCCCGACTAAGAGAACAAGGCATCTCCTATGTGTGACACACAACTCATAACTGCATTTTCCTTTTGTTGCTTTTGGGCGTTCATATGAGGTACTTGCAGCCCACAGAAGTGCAAAGCAGTGGCCATGGGCTGCAGGCCTGGAGAACGTCCCAGGCTGAAGCCAGCTGCTAAATGCAATGCGGTGTGCGAGCCCCCATCTGTTTCTGTGAACTATCCACCTTGTGTAATATTCCCTCTCCCAGGGACATCTCAACCTCCTTCCTCTCTGCCTGGATTTAGCATAAGAACGATCCCAGTGGCTCTGATGAAACCGCAGGGGTAACTTCCTTGTGAAATCACACCCAGCCTGAGGGATTTTGAGGCCTCAGGGCCAAGTTAGCTTCCTGTCCTCTACACCCTGAACCTGGCCTAAGGGCTACACAGCTCAGGTGTTTCCCTGACAAGAAAAGCAGAGAAAGAAACTATTGTCAGAGGTCAGAAGTTCTGAGGAAACACTGGTTCCTCCTTTCATTCTTCTTGGAAAGAAGAAGAGGTCTGTCAAGCCTGGGAGCTCCCCAGCCTCTGCACTGCAGGGGCACCCAGCAAAATGTAGCACAGGGCAGCTGTGAGAGCTAGCATCCAGCAAGATGGATACATTTTGCACGCATGAAGTATTACGGCATCCAGTTCCTAATGCCTGGCCTACGCTGAAAGCCCTCATTTCCCTCCTGCCCTCTCCTTGCTGGAGCCACCTCATTTTTGTGCCTCTCATTTTGGGGGAGGCTGGTACCCACTGGTGGAGAGAGCATTCCATATTAGCCTCCAATGTGCTCTTCCCACACAGAAGGCAAACGGTCTCCTGGTATGCATTAGGCAAAGCACAGCCAGCAGGCTGAGGGAAGGGATCCTTTTCTTCTGCTGAGCACTGATGAGGCCACACCTGCATTGCTGGGTACAGCTCTAGGCTCCACAGAGCAAGAGAGATATGGACGTACTGGACAGACCCCAGCAAAGGGCCACAAAGATGATGAAGATATGGGACCACTGTATGACAAGTGGCTCAGAGAACTGGAACTGCTCAGCTTGGAACAGAGAATGCTCAGGGGAGATCTCATCAATGTCTGTACGTATCTGAAGGGTGGGTGCGGAGAGAATGGTGCCAGGCTCTTCTCAGTGGCGCAGTGGGCACAGACTGAACAACAGGAAGTACTCCTGTGCTCTGCAGATAGATGACCAAGCACTGTCATGAGTTGTCTAGAGAAGTGATGAAGTTTCTTCCTTGGAGGTCTTCAAAAGCTGCCTAGCTGTGGTCCTGAGCAACCTGCTGTTAGTGGGATTGGACCACATGTCCACCAGAGATCCCTTCTAACCTCAGCAGTTCTTTGATTCTGGAGGAAAAGTGCCCTTCTATGAGCCAGGGTGCGTTACTCCAGCAAGGTCCTTGTTTAGTCTCTGCAGTACAGACTTTACATGGTATCTCAGTAAATGATGAAAAGCTGGAACTCTTGATCTCCTGAGGCCTGCCTACATGGCACTGCAGACAATGTAAAAGAGGATAACCTGAAATGAAAAGGATGACACACAAGAGAGGAAGACAACTTTTACACATGGGAGTCAGGCTACACTTT